GTAACTTTTATAAATACTGAATTAAAGTTTAATGCCTTGTCATACATATTTATTTAAAGTGGCAGGCGTTTTGATAATTATCATTAGCCCTTTAGCTGACTTCGGGCCTCACAGAGAGGAGGAACATCAAAGTGAGAAAAATTCGAGGGGGAAAGCAGAAGAGTGATTCACAGATGTAAGAGAGACAGACAGGCAGATAGACACAAAGGTAGAGAAAAGGTTAGATGAGTACCGCGAGTGGTGTAATATGACACAGTGTCGGGTCATACTAGTTAGAAGTCAACTGCCGGTTAATAGACTTTTTTGGCGTTTGAGTATACGTTGCCCAGGGTGCCCCACGTGGAGGTAAGTCTATAGCACAACTCGCCTTGTCATACATGAATCTATTCCCAAGACGTGGAAGAGAGAATTAAAAATTAAAAAGCTCTCTCTTAACTTGCTTATACTTGATTGATTAGACGAATTATTACACATGCCGAAGTTCAACAGTACCTAAACGCTCAAATATCCCAAGATAATGGGAAGCGCTAACAAGAATTTCAGCTCTTTGATCTGAGTAATAAATCAGAGAAAATTCTAAGTTTCATAACGTCTTTTCTCATCATTTCCAGCTCATAAGCTAGGATCTTAAACAATGTTTCCGTCTACAAAATGTATGCTAATGTTATAAGTAAATAGATATTTTTTATTTAACAAATTGTTGGAGTATCTTGCGATTGATTTCTAATATGCGAGTTGAATTGACCACTTGAACAGTTATAAATAGAGCTCTACTTACCTAAGCCAAATAAACAGAAACTGCTTTTAGAAGTGCAAATAGGAATGAACGCTTAAGGTGCCCATAGCATTGACCAAGGTGATGTTGGTGTTCCTGCTAATTAGCTCAGTTCGTCGGGTGGAGTTTGAAAGGCATGAGTTATCTTTCATAGTCGCGCTAATGGGAACGAGTCAATGGTAGACACGAGGAACAAGTTCATTTTTGCTCCCTGTTTATTACCACGAGATAGTTGCTTTGGGTTTGTATGCTCAAATCTACATTGAATTGAAGAGGAAGTGGGGAAGGGGGGGACAATCGTTTCCTGTGTGGCCAAGCAGTTAGGCTTAATTCTCTTGGAAAAATAGTTACTACAGCAAGACGGCGGAATACACTCAGCGGAGACAATGGTGCTTTCAGAGTTACGTTAGCCAATACAAGTGGAATTATTAAGGCAGGTTGAAAGACTGCAAACGAACTTCGGACTTATATATAATCCCTAGATTAAATTTCGTGATTAATAACCTTTAACTCGCCTTATTGATAATTGTAAATTGATTTGAATTCTGTTGAATTGGTTTTTCATTATTAGAATAAAATTCTAAAATCAAGGGTTAAGTATCGAGGTGTGTGGAATCGACAATGGAGCGTACAGCCGTGGTATTGATTACTGATGTCGTTGAAGTAGCTTAGCCAAGTTTGGGAGCAATTTCGTCACTGTGAGTTAGTTCATTCCTATTTATTCTAATTCGAACTTAGATGCAGTGCTATTTCAGATTTCCATTGGCAACTTAAAGAACCGTTTGAAATATACGAACTAATAGTATACCAAGGGGAAGTGACCACTTTAATTACCAAGTGCATATTTCCTGATCATCTCAAAACTCTGTATCCCACTCACACGTGTGCCAATTTCTTTTCAGTCAAAATTTTTCAAATTTCCAAATGAATGCATGTATTTTTCTTTGATCAATCACATATATAACGCTAATTCCCTATGAGTACTCATAAGAAATTAAACTATAAACCACCGCACCATGTCTTGGAAGGGGATTCGAACACTGACCGATAGAACTTGTAATACTCGGATGTCAATGCCTACCATCTATAAACATTCTGTGTGTTGAAAACGCCTAATTTCACTCTGTGTCAAAGTGATTTTATGTATTTTGGTGTCGCAAATGCAACAGAATCGCTAAAACAGGCGTGTTACATTATTTACGCCCATAAATTAGAACAATATTCAAACACAAAGTCGCCAATTCTGCTCTTGCAGTCATTGTGTCCACTGCTTTCTATTAGCTAGGACAACTTGGCAACCTGTTTATGCCACAGTTCACAATAAACACAGATGGCTCGACCTCGCGACGCCAAGTATATATATATATATATACACTGGCAGGATATTTACACCTTGCAGCCTGTAAGATGTCACTTGTTCTTATCTTTTCAGCACTCCTCTCTTTGCTTGAATTCACCGTTTCACAAAGTGCCTGCCCAGACGGTTGTGTTTGTTTCAGTCAATCGATAATATGTCGTCGAAAGACAGACACAATTATTCCACAACTTCCCGAATTTCTTGATGACCCACAAGCTGGAGCACTTCAATACTTCGCCATGACAAGCACAATGTTGACCCGAGTCCCACGGGGAACCTTTGTGGCTCTGCTTGATGTCATGAATATCGACCTCTCAAATAATGAAATAGCAATAATAGAAGATGGCGCTTTTCAAGATCTTCCGCAATTGGCACATTTAATTCTCAGAAATAACAAATTGACAAGTCTTCCTGATAAAATATTTGATACCCTTCCAGGGTTGGAGGAACTTGATCTATCATTTAATCATATGGCTACAATTCCTGCATCCTTGGAACGGTTGGTTGGATTGAAAAAATTGACTCTACGTGGAAATCCACTTCATTGTGGATGTGAAATTATTGATTTTGCTAGAATACTTCCTGTTTTTGAAGGATCCATGGAGAAAGCAGTATGTAAAACGCCGACACAGGTAAATGGAAAATCTGTTGCAGAAATAGGTCGTCAATACGCCAAAGCCTTCGAAGGAACACGTCATCTCGGTTATTGGCCAGATGAATATATATTCCCAGAGGAGGTTACTAAGAAGAGTTTGGTACGAACGCGCACTCCCTGGCCACTTCCACATTGTTCAGAGAAGGATCTTGGAGGAATGGTTCAGGAGGAGAGATCTGGGTCGTCAGGATATCCTGAAGCTCCAAGAATTATTCAAGCACCAGTTCCTGTTATGGCCGCTGAAGGCGAGAGAGTCTTTTTCGTCTGTAGAGCTGAAGGTTTTCCTCCACCGAAGATTAGCTGGATGTTACCGACAAAAAATATACAGTTCATTAACCTCTGGGACAAGAGACAAGTAAGTAGCTTTCTCAAGTTACCACCACGCAGATACCATGTTCCAAATTTAATTGCTTAAGAATGTCGGCAGTTAAAAGAGGATTTAACTCGAAATTATCTGCTTAAGCTAATTAATGAATTACATGATCTTAAACGGACATTTATTTCTACTCCGATGGATCAGATTTATGGGAGAAGAAAGCTTGGCGAATGGAGTAAAAATTAATGTTCGAAATTTCCCCTTCAATTTGTTTCTTTTTATGCCTAAATTAAACACAGATTAATTTTTATTTTGCTTCATTTCTATTTGTTTAAAAACTGAGAAAGTTACGCGGCTGTCATGCAAGTTCCATTTATTGATTTAATCGATAGGGAACTCATATATGAATTTCGGAAAATGCATTAACGAAAATGGATTTTGTGTTTAATTACTTTTGGCCTAGAATGTCGTTGAATGATTCCTCAGAAGATCACCATTAACTTGCAGACGTGCGGTTCCTCACCTTAATTATGTTTATAGATTTTAAATACCATTTTACATATTTACTTATTTATATCAAAGGGCAGGCGTTTTGGTAGTTATCATTAGCAGGCTTCACAGAGAGGAAGGAACACCGAAGTGAAAAAAGTCGAGAGGGAGGGGGAAGAGAAGCGTGTTTCGAAGAGACAGACACAAAGGTAGAAAAAGGCAAGATGAGTACTGTGGAAGTAGTCAAATATATTTATATAAAATGGGAGGCGTTTTGATGGCTATCATTAGACCTTTAGTTGACTTCAGGCTTCACAAAGGGGAAGGAACATCAAAGTGAAACAAAAGTCAAAAGAGAGAAGGGGGGAACAAAAGAGTGTTTCAAAGACGAAGGTAGAAAATAGGTGAGGTGAGTACTGTGCAAGAAGTCAAATATGACATATAGTGGGGGGATGGTAGTTTGAAGTGAGAAGTCAACTGCCGGTTAATAGACATTTTTTGCCGTATAAGTATAAGTTGCCAAGGGTGCACCACATGGATGTAAGTCTATCGCGCACCCCCCATTTTGCATTAAGTAAAATCAAGATTTTCTCATTTTGTATATAAATTAAATTTTAAAATGCCTTGTTTAGTCAATCTAGACTTTAGTGTTTGATCAATAAGATTGAATTGGGAAAAGATTCTGAAAAGTGAGGTAACGATCTCTTCTCGTTAATTGGCGTCCATTTCGCATAGCAGTTCCATTTTTTTAAAACAAAGAGAACAAATGACTAGCATCTGAAAATGGGGTTGAGTCGAACAAATTCGTCTAGTTCCAGATGCACAGCATATTCCTAGATACAGTTAATTATTGCCGAAGAAGTTTTCCATTCTGTTGGGAAGCAAGCATCCAAATGTCTATCATCTTTATGAACTTCATTATTTTTGTCCTGATTAAAGGCATTTTGCTCATATAAGCTAGATGAATAATTTTTTCTGATTAATAAATGTTTCCAAACCAAAATATACTTGTACGAAGCAATTTTGGGTGTGCATTCTGAAGAATTTAAAGATATTTTAACATCGAAATCACCAAGATGAGAGTCGTTTTTTATTTTTCATATTTTTATGTTTAATATTTTTTTGTGTTAGATATTGGAGGTGAGAGAAATCCATTCCTACCATGAGGGAACATTCACATGCATAGCTGAGAACGAGGTTGGCCGAGTTAGTCAGTCCGTCAGTCTACATCTGCTCGACATTGTCAAGCCACAGATTACAGACGCGCCATCAACTCAAGCCACTGCTGGAATGGTAGGAGGTGACGTTGAACTTGTCTGCACAGCCCGTGGACGTCCAAAACCCACTATCGATTGGCTCTACACACATGCTTCCACTCCTAAGCGTCTTTCCACACAGGGTCGTTACGTTGTTCGTCATTCTTCCAGGCTCTCCGCAAGAACTGTTCAAGACCTCGTGTATCGAGATCCTTTTACCCAACTGGATGAAAGCTTGCGCGTTGAAGGTGAGGAGGAATCAATAACTCTCACCATCAAAAACATCTCGGAAGTAGACACAGAAGGCCGATACACTTGTTATGCTGCAAATCGTGCAGGTTCCACTCGTGTTACCTCTTTGCTAACTCTCAAAAAGCCTGCAATTGCAGAAAGTGCTACTGGTGATATGGAGAGAAGTGTACTAAGTCCAGATGAAATGGAAAACATGGAGGGTAAGAAAATGGAATCGGATGAAGATTTGGTAAAAAGAGTAATTGAGAAAGCACGAAAGCGAATTGAATCTGCCATCCAGAAGACGGCTGATAATCTCCGAGATCCGAATTCTCGTAGAACTGCATCGGATATTGCATCACTATTTCGTCAGCCGAGTAAAGCTGCAGTGGAGTTGGCTAAAGCTGCTGAAGTTTATGAAGCAGCAATAGACGAAGTCACACAAATTCTTCAAAAACAGCGGAATTCTACTCTTGGAAAGGACACTGAGGGCCCCTACAAGAGCGACGAAGGCTTCGATGAGCATAAGCGGCAAGCTATGGGTGTTCAGCTGACAGCTGAACAGTTGGCTATCATCGCTCAACTTTCTGGATGTGCTCAATCACAAAGAGTTGAACCTTGTGATCGGCAATTATGTTTCCATATGAGATATAGGTCCATCGACGGTAGTTGCAATAACTTCAAATATCCAAAGTGGGGGTCAGCTCTTTCACCCTTCTATCGTCTATTGCCTCCGGTTTATGAAAACGGTGTTAATCAACCAGTTGGATGGAATCCAGAAAAACTCTATTTCGGTTACCCTAAACCATCTTCGAGATTGGCTTCCTACAAACTTATGGGTGATGCTACAAAGCTTCAAGTTTACACAAAGAAGTATGTAATTTGAAATATCAGTTTATTACGCTCCTTTTATGGATGCATGCCTTTCTTGATAAGAGATTTGAAATAATTTTCATTAAAAGTAAGCTTAGGATTGGTCTATTTCAAAACAAATTGAAGACGAGCTATGGGCAGAACACTAACAGTTTAACAATGAGAGAATTACACAATCAGGACAAATTAACAGAAATAGCCCATAGTGGGCAAGGCACAATAAAATAAAGCAGAAATATTAATTTATATCAAATGGCAGGCGTTTTGATAGTTATCATTAGCCTTTTAGATGACTGCAGGCTTCACAGAGGGGAAGGAACATCAAATTGAAAAAATTCGAGAGGGGGAAACAGAAGAGTGTTTGAAAGATGCAAGAGACAGACACAAAGGCAGATGAAAGGTGAGGTTAGTTCTGTGGAAGTAGTCGAATATGACATACAGTGGGGTGATGGTAGTTTGAAGTCAGGAGTCAACTGCCAGTTTATTGACTTTTTTGTTGTTTGAGTATACGTTGCCCAGGGTGCACCAAGTGGAGGTAAGTCTATTGCACACCCCATAGAGCAGAAATAGTGGTTCAAATAATGATTATCGTATTGCCAAGCCTAGAAGTAATAAAAGGATAAAATGCTATGGAGATCAATAAAGATAAAAAGATGACTCGGATAAATCAAAATGTACAGGTTTTAACTCAGGATTATTTTTCTCATTGGTCCTCGTGCGTTTAGTCGGAATGTGCGTTAGAAAAAGGTCTTTGTGCTGTTTGGCGAGATTGACAGCTGAGCTTACTTATCATTACTCAGTAGTGATTTGTGACAACTGGTGGTGCCTAGACAGATAAATAACTTGCAAAGCTCAAAAATGCCATAATTCAAACCTTTGTATCATCTCGTTGTACAGCAGTAACTGACAACAGTAACCGGCCATATATCGTCTCTTTGGCAACTTAAAGCGCTCAGGTCATAGCAACCGTTTGCCCATTTTCTTATTTTTAGATTAGAAACTTTCAATCAAAGAATCAAAATGTCTCTGAGATTTAACAACAGGACAATTGGCACGTCAAGTCCCTTTGATTTTCCACTCAACGAGCAAGAAGAACTTTTTGATGAAGATGACAAATCTTCTGGTATGCTGATGCAGTGGGGTCAATTCTTGGATCATGATCTCGATTTCACGCCCGTCGACGCTTCAACAAGCCGCTTTAGTGATGGATTGGGTTGTAATGAGACATGTATCAACGATCCCCCATGCTTTCCAATCATAACCCCTCCTGGTGATCCGAGAATTCGACAAAGGTGTATTGGATTTGCTCGAAGTTCTGCGACTTGTGGATCGGGCTCAACATCCATTCTGCTTGGTCGTCCACAGCATCGCGAGCAGTTAAATCAAATCACAGCTTTCATTGATGCCTCAAATGTCTACGGAAGTGAAGATTTTGATGCGGCTCAATTGCGAAACACGCTTTATGATGAAGGACATTTGAGAGGTGGAATGCCTACACCTTCAGGAAAACCACTTCTTCCTTTCAATATCCGTGGTCAGGTAGGATTAAATTGACCTAAGTTGTCCTTCAAGGGGGCGAGATAATCAGTTTGTGGTTGGCTTTTTATTCACATCGAATGTGCTAAGGAAGTAATGTTCAAATACTTGTAAAACTTTCAATATCTTATCAATGCAGTTTATTCGTTCGGGTAATTGCGGAGCTCAATAGCAGAGTTAAGATGGTTTAATTTTTCCAGGATATACTGAAATGAAGCAACAACCCGTTTGAGGTAGAGGAAAATTACTTTTTATTTGATAATTTGTCAGTAATAATGTCAGTTCTTCAAAACTCAAATTTGTCGCGTTCATTAGAGATACGGGTAGGTTTATAAATAAGTACATTCAATACTGTTCTTCAAAATCAGTTTTAATTATATACAGCAGTACATAAGTAATATTCTTATCGCTGGCAGCAAATGAAATCGATTAACTAAACGTCCAGTCAATGCGTGATAATACATTCGATACTTGGATTCGGGCGATACAATATCTACTAGATGGGTAATTCATTTTGCACAACTTCAGCAATATGATTGTGTCTCTGAATTGCTTATCAAATTCTTTTCCCCAAAATTCAATACTCTTCATTGATCACGTCTGAAGGTATGGAAAGTCAACTTATCCCACTTGCTCATTAAACACTTTACTTCAATTGAAATTAAATCCACGATTCCTGAATAATAGTTTCAGCAATGAAGTTCAGATCTCACAGATAACTTGATCCATATGGTGGACTATTTATGACATTTTCATGCATCTATCTATCCCTTCTAGTGCTCTAGAACAATTATCTAATATTACAATTACAATCTCTTCGTCCAATGATCAGTAAACCGATATAGTATTGATCGAAATGTAGAGAAAGACTCTTTGTCTTTTAATTAGCCTTATTTTAAGATTAATAATCATTTTTCTTCTCAAAAAACTGTAAATGTTGAAACTTATTTACTCTGGTAGTGAGTATTTAAATCGATAATATCTGCAATGATTGACATTTTTAATTCTAATATTCAAATTCCAAACGTGAGTTAATGAGATTTCAATTGCCGGTTGAACATCACTGCAAATATTATTATTTCAAATGGCAGGCGTTTTTAATAGTTATCATTAGCCATTTAGTTGACTTCGGGCTTCACAGAGGGAGGAACATCAAAATGAGAAAAATTCGAGAGTTGGAACAAAAGATTCACAGATGTAGAAGGGACAGACAGACACAAAGGTAAAGAAAAATTGAGTTGAGTACTGTGGAAGTGGTGGAATACGACATACAGTGGGGTGATGGTAGTTGAAGTCAGAAGTCAACCGCCTTTTAATAGACTTTTTTGCCGTATGAGTATACGTTGCCCAGGGTGCGCCATGTGGAGGTATGTCTATCGTGCACCCCTCACCACAAATATAGCAAATAGTGATT